AGGGAGCCCGATGTGGGACTCGATCCCGGGACTCCAGGATCATGACCTGAGCCGAAGGCAGTTGCTTAACCAACTGAGCCACCCAGGCGCCCTTAAGAGAATTTTTTAAAAGATTTATTTATTTATTTTAGGGTGAGAGCATGCACGCTCACGTGTGGGGAGGGGCAGAGGGAGAGAATCTTTCAAGCAGACTCCTTGCTGAGTGTGGAGCCTGACGTGGGCTCGATCTCATGACCCATGAGATCATGACTTGAGCTGAAACCAAGAGTCCAATGCTCAACTGACTGAGCCACCCAGGTGTCTTGACATAAGAGATTTTAATTTTATTATATTTTATTTCTTTTATTAAAAAAAGACTCAAAGTTAATATAATTTAATATTGATAATTGTTACTTACATTGTTGTCAGAACTCTAGTATGTATTATAATATAATTTGAATTATCTGTATTTTTAGTTTTCCTGAAGGTAAATTTCTCAAAAAAAATTTAAACCCATAAAAAAGGTGTTAATGAAGATCAGTATATAACCTTATAAAGTAAAAGAAAAACAAAAATGACACAAAATGAAAAAAACTGATTTTTTAACATTTTGAAAATTTCCATAAGGCTTATATCTATATTTAGTATGGTTATCATTTTGAAAACCACTAAATTGAAAAATTAAAAATGTAAGTTAACTTACAAAGTAGGTGTGCCTTTGTGTCTCAAACTTTCATCAGAATCCAGGCAATTTTTTTTCTCTACCATTTCTCAATCCTCGAGGATGACGAAAGTTTACAAACCAAAAAAATTCAAACCCTGACATCATTAGTAGATCGAGTTACGTCAGTTACTCACCTTTATTGCCAAGTGTTGAGTTGACCAGTGCTCCTTAATTTTTCTTCAGAGAATCAAGGGGTTCCTGGGTGGCACAGTTAGTTGAGTGACAGACTCTTGACCTCAGCTCAGGTTGTGATCTCAGTGTCATGGGACTCAGCCCAACGCTGGGCTCCACAGTCAGTGCGGAGTCTGCTTGAGACTCTCTTTCCCTCTCCCTCTGCCCCTCTCTCCCGTGCATGTGCACCTTCTCTCTCCCTCCCTCAAATAAATCTAAAAAAAAAAAAAAGTTTTTCTTCAGAGAATCGAATGATCTTTCCATCTTCCCAACTATCATTTCCATTTCCCTTATATCACCATACCAAGTTACATGTTCTATGCTTTTATTATTTTTTTAATGAGACATTAAGTGAAAATCATCCTGTTTTAATACGTGCATGGATATAAAATTTCTACCGTTGATTTATTTTATTTGTAATTGTTTCTAGGATCTGAAGAAGATGATGAAGTTGTGGCAATGATTAAGGAATTGTTAGATACTAGAATACGGTATGTGCTCATCATTCTGCCCAAAATCAAATATACTGCAGAGGCAATTTTCATTATAGCAGTATACTTTTAGTTGTCTGTGAGGAAAAAAAACTCGAATAAATAAGTAGAAGTGAATGTAAACTGTAATAGGTAACCATGGCAGTTGAATTTAAAGCCTGTACATTCTGTATATTCACTCAAAAAATTTTTTTTTTTTTAAGATTTTATTTACTTATTTGAGAGAGAGAGAATGAGAGATAGAGAGCACGAGAGGGAAGAGGGTCAGAGGGAGAAGCAGACTCCCTTCTGAGCAGGGAGCCTGATGTGGGACTCGATCCCGGGACTCCAGGATCATGACCCGAGCTGAAGGCAGTCGCTTAACCAACTGAGCCACCCAGGCGCCCTTCACTCAAAATTTTAAGACAGTCTGTCTAAACACAGTGAAGGAGTTTATCTTTCACAGACACCATCTAGGTTTGATATTGTTATAATACCAAATTTCTTAAAATAAAAAAATGAGTTAAACAGTGTTTGGGTAGATTGTGAGAAGAGAAGAAGTACTTTTTTTCAGGCTATGCCCATAAAAAACAAATTTAAATGAGTGGAGAACCATAGGCTTCCACTTTTGCTTGTAGCAGACCAGTGGTCCTGGTGAGAACTCCCAGAAATGCAATAAATACAATAAATTTTTTTTTTGTCTGTAAACAGTAGAGAGCTGACAAAGCACACAAGATCCTATAGAGGAGGGAAGCTCATGAAGGCTTCCCGTGGGTCATTTTGCTGATTTTGGTGTGAGGCTAGAGTATGAGAACCTGGGCAGAGGGCAACTGTTTGTATCTACTAAATGTGAATATATGTACATTCTTGATCCAGCAATTCCATGCTCAGGTGTATTCCCAATAGTCATATATATGTCTACCAAAAGACATCTGCAAGGGTCTTCACAGCTGCACTGTTTGTAAAAGCCAAAATCTGATTTTAACCCAAAAGTCCAGCCACAACAACAGGGATAAATTCTGGCATTTTCACTTAATGGAACCCTATGTGACGATGTGGAAGAATCTCATAAAGAGCAAAATAAGCCAAATACGAAAGAGTAAATGCTATACGTTTTTTAAATGGAATTTATATTTATAAATTATAAAGTTACAAAACAGGCAGAACTAATCAATGGTAATAGCAATTAGGAAATGGTTACCTTTGATTGCCAGGAGGCACAAGGGGGACTTCTGGGGTGCTAGCTTTGTGTCTTGGCCTGGGACAAATGTGTGTTCACTTTGTAAAAATTCATTTAATTGATCATACGTGATTTGTGCATTTTTCTGTATTAATGTTATATTTCGATGCAAAGTTTATCTGGCAAAAAAAAAATTCAGCATGTGTCATATTAGTTGGCCTCTGTTCTTTCAAAAGAAATGAGTATTATCTTAGGTAATTGCTGTAATTATTAGGACATTTGAGATCTTAAATCCCTAAAAAGATTACTAATAAGCAGGATTAAATATAATAAGTGAAGCAAATATTTGTATGAATGAATTTTGGCATTTTATCTGAAATTTTTAAAAAGGTTACAAATGAGACTAGCTACATTTCTTGTTCTCTATTGTATAAGTAGCTCTAACTTTGTGAATTTTACCAATATAAATCTAAGCCCTGGGTTGTTTTAAATATTTTTGATGGAAACTTAAGTTCTTTTACATACATAACGAATATTCTGTGACCACAGGCCAACCGTTCAGGAAGATGGAGGAGACGTTATCTATAAAGGCTTTGAAGATGGCATTGTACAGCTGAAACTCCAAGGTTCTTGCACCAGCTGCCCCAGTTCAATCATTACTCTGAAAAATGGAATTCAGAACATGCTGCAGTTTTATATTCCAGAAGTAGAGGGTGTAGAACAGGTATGCCAATATTATATGACAGTTGAGATTCAATATTAAACTAAATATTTGGGGACAAAAAGAAGAAATTCATGACCTGACCTATTCTTCAGGGGCTGGATCTCAGTGTTACAATTATTATCAGACTTGAAGAGTCCTTATTTTAGAATCCACTTGAGTGTTATGAATACCTACTATTTGCCAGGCCTTCTTACAAATATTACTCCTTTAATCTTTTCACAACACAGTATCGAATAAGTTGTTCCCATTTTGTACGTAAGGAAATGGAGACTCAGAGGTCATACTGCTGCTCCAATTGTAGAAAAATTATGAAAAGGGGATTCAAAACATGAATTTCATAGATGAGAGTTGGAAGTCCTCAGTGGAAGAGCTCCACTGCATTATACTCATCCAGTCAAGAAACTCATCAAGAAATCATACTTTTTTGTACAGTAAGACAGAGTACTGAGTGGAGTTGTAGCCTGATAGCAGCATTTTTTCTGCCCCAAGGTACCTCAGGAATATAGCACAGATCCTTCTAAGCGGTAAATAGTGACCTTCATTGCAGCAATTCTCAACCAAGAGGGTTGGCCTTATGGAAGGAGATTATCAAGGAGGAAAAAAGAATGTATGGAAATGAGAAATTTGAAAAAACTCTTCAGATCATTCTGTGCCTTTAGGGCGAGGGCATCTCCTCAGCTCCTTTGGGAACCACTCATCTCTGGGTAGTACTAAAATCTGTCCTTTTGGTACAATACATGGCATCTTCTCTTTGAAGGCCTTACTGGTCTTCTCCGTGGACTTAGGCGCTGCTTCAGTCCAAAGCCTCTTTCAGTGTGTCTGTTTCAGATTTATGTTTATGGGTAAGTTCCTTGAGAGACTTGTCATCATATCCAGGTCTTTGTGTTCCTCTCCAACATTTAGCCCTGTGTGTTGTACATGTTGTATACATTCTTTGTATTAAATAAGTATTTGGAAGAATGTTTCCAAATTTAGGAATGTTCTGCCTAAAATAGGAATTGATTGACAAAATTCTTTGGATTGTGTGTTGCTGAGATTAATGATAAAAATATCAATTCCTTAGAAGTAAATATCTATTTTTACTCAACTCAAAAGAGAAAATATGAGAGAATTATTTTTCCATGATAGTCTCAGATCAGAACCAAATTCTTCCAGATTTAAAGAAACAAACTTATTTTTGTTTCATAATTTTCTCTATGCCTTATATGCCTCTTTAAAGAATTACATTACTTGACACTTTGGTGAATTGACAAAGGAACATTTGTTCACTTGTCCAGGGTGGGGTGATGAATTGGCAGTCAGGTTATAAACTTGAATTGGTGTTTAATTGTAGTAGGTATGTTGAAAAAAAAATTCATGAGTTTATATAACTCCTCTCCGAAGGACAATTCTTTATTTTCTGAGTAATATATTAACTCACGAAAAGATACTAATCTTGGGGCACCTGGGTGGTGTAGTTGGTTATGCGTCTGACTCTTGGTTTTGGCTCAAGTCTGATCTTGGTGTCATAAGATCGAGCCTGGCATGGGCTCCATGCTCAGCTGGGAGTCTGCTTGAGATTCTCTCCCTCTGCCCCTCCCCCCACCCCCCCAACCCCCCCCGCATGCTTTCTTTCTCAAATAAATCTTTAAAAAAAAGATTAATCTTTTTATTTTTAAATCAGGTATTCATTAGTATTTTTCTAATAATTTAACTTATTAGAAATGAAGGTCCTCACATTTTTCTAAGATTTAAAATGAATTTTTATTTGAGTAAGACCAAAATAATTAGTTGCTAGTATTATATTTTATTTCTTTACTTTTTTTAGGGATTCATCTTTCTAATATATATTTTTATAATAGTTTGGTGTAGCTCCTAAGAATATATTTAAGTAAATAGAATGTTTTTGGGAAAAAAAAAAGAGTTAACATATTAGTCTTGTGGCTAGGAAATACCAGTTAATTAATTGTTATAGTCAATGTCCAGCTGAGACTCTGCTCCTGGAAGATTTTTTTGGGACAAGAAAAAGAGACCAATGCTTAATTAATTTGCAATATTAAATTTGCTTTTATGTTGTTATGATACCAGGTTATGAGACAAACTTGTGTTTTGGGGGCTGTTGATAGACTTGGTCTTATTGGATTGACATGCATTATTATAGAGTAGAGTATTTCAGGTAAGCAAGTAATGGTATAATCAGGAAAATAGCAATTTCTAATCTTTTTCTTAATTCTTAAATTCTTTTTTTTTTCTTGGTTTTAGGTTATGGATGATGAATCAGATGAAAAAGAAGCAAACTCACCTTAAAATAATTAGAATTTTCTTTGGGCCCAGCAGTTGGACTTATTGATAATATATACCAAGCTTTTATTGTTAATCTGCTAAGGAACTTGAGGATTAATAAAATATGCCCCCTTTTCAGAGACTGATACATAAATATTGCAATGTTTGCTTTACCTCATATGAGTTATTTATAACATCCTGAATCATCTTCTGTACACGTGGATTTTATCCAGGGATATTTTAATGTTTGTTCTTTATTTCTCATGGTTCCTTCTTTGCATAATATGTGAAGCCGTTCATTTTCCCTCATTTAATTTATTTACTTTTTTTTTTATACAGAAGTAAGTAAGGAGAATGCTTATAAAAATACTCTAAAATGGCTTAGATTTTTGTGAAATATTTGAAACTATCTTTACTGGATTTTTATCTTGTTAAAAAAAATACTAAACAATTTCTGGCTTAAAAATGGTATCTGGTTAGGGGTGCCTGGGTGGCTCACTAGATTGTCTGACTCTTGATTTCGGCTCAAGTCATGATCTCAGGGTTGTGAGAATGAGCCCCACTGTGGGCTCGGCACTGGGTGTGGAGCCTGCTTAAGATTTTCTCTCTCCCTCTCTCCCCCTTCCCCCCAAAAAGTAGTCATAATGCTGAAAACTAATAAAAGAACCAAGTTCCAGAACGTAGACAGAATTTCCATTGGTAGAAGACACAGCAGGCTGAATTGAGGGAAAAGCTGCCTTAGTATGCTCAGGCTTTATTTTGTGAAGCAGAATCTCTAAGAAAAAAAATGAGAAACTGCTTTGGTTCTTCTTCCACTGGCTTCTCCTGACTCAGAGATTTATAATCCGTGCCATGCCAGAAATTTGGTTATCTTTCTACCATAGAGTACTGCTTTTTCAGATATCCAACATAGTAAATTACCCTTCTTTCTCATTTTCTATAATAATTCAGAGACAGTAGTTCACAGACAATATCACAATAAGAGAGAAATAGCAGTGGCACATTATATTTCTGGAATTCTGGTTCCCAAAAGTATCGATATTAAGATAGGGATGGAGGGGCATCTGGGTGGCTCAGTGGGTTAAGCGTCTGCCTTCAGCTCAGGTGATGATCTCAGGGTCCCAGGATCAAGCCCCAAACTGGGTTCCCTGCTCAGCACGGAGTCTGCTTGTCCCTCTCCCTCTACCTCTCAGCCCTGTTTCTATGCATGGTCTCTTTCTCTCTCACTCTGCTCTCCCTCTCAAACAAATAAAATCTAAAAAAAAAAAAAAAAGGGATGGAAACAGGAAGAATGCCAGGATTTGTGAATGCTGGGATTTAAAGTTTATATGTTTGTCCTTTGGTTCATAGAACCAGACAGTGGGGTTGGAGAATTTGTTCCCTGAGCTATTACAGATGAATTCAGGTCAGGTTCGGAATTGCTTTGTAGACTAGACACATTAACCTGCCCTTAAGAAGCCACAGGAAATTGAGACGAGGAGATAGAGTTAATGACAAATCTTGGGTATGGCCATGAAATAAATGGCTGAAGTGGGGAGTGAATTAGATTCTTGGAGGAAAGGAAATCGTGGAACTGAGAGGCCAAGGTATCGGGAAGATTTTCTGCAAAAGGGAACAGCCATGAGGAGCAAGGAGGAAAGGTGGGGAAGACCTTCCTAGACATACAGAGCAGTGTAAACAGAATCTGGAAGCTGTGAAATGTATTTGGTAACTGCAAGAAGAGAAATACAGCCTGAGTGTAAAGTGAAAGTCCTTCCCTGGAAATGGTACAGAAGCAAACAGTGGGCCGAACAGAGTGCTACAGAATCTAGTGGTGGAGGCCCTTTCAAATATAATTTCTTTTTTTTTTTTTTTAAGATTTTATTTATTTGAGAGAGAGAGAGCACAAGCCGGGGGAGTGGCAGAGGGAGAATCAGACTCCTTGCCAAGCTGGAAGCCCTATGTGGGGCTCGATCCTAGGATCCTGGGATCATGACCTGAGCCGAAGGCAGACGCTTAACCAACTGAGCCACCCAGGTGCCCTGTCAATTATCATTTGTGATGTGTCCAGGGAAGGTAGATCCCACCTCAGGGGATTAATTATAACTCAACCAGTCATTTTAACTCCTTTTCTCTTTGCCAGTCATTAGTTTAGGTGTGGACATATGACCCAGCTGTGGCCAACGAGCTGTAAGAGAGGGTCTACTGGAGTGTTTTTTTTTTTTTTTAAAGATTTATTTATTTATTTGAGAGAGAGAGAGAATGAGAGATAGCGAGCACGAGAGGGGGGAGGGTCAGAGGGAGAAGCAGACTCCCCGCTGAGCAGGGAGCCCGATGTGGGACTCGATCCCGGGACTCCAGGATCATGACCTGAGCCGAAGGCAGTCGCTTAACCAACTGAGCCACCCAGGCGCCCTGGAGTGTTTTTAAAAGATTTTCTTCCCTGATTAAGAGAGAGAGTTAATCTATGTAAAGAGAGCTCTTTTCCCCTCGATTCTTTTCTTTCCTGTTTGGTATGCTGTAGAGTGAAAACTTGATGTTGAAGGCTATGACAGTCAACTTGAAATCATGATGAAAAGCCAGTCCACTGAGAATGGCAAAGAAGGAGGAAACAAGGCCTGGATCCTTGAGGACATTATTGACTTTTGACCTAGTCCGGGAACCACCCATTTTCAGAGTATCATGTGAGATAAGAGGTTTCCTTGTTTTGAACAACTACTGTTGGCAGGTACTGTCACTTGAAGCCGATTTCCTTCTAACAGAACCTTGGTAAATCATGGAGGAGTTGGTACATTAATTTTACTGCTTTTTTTATTTGTGGCAGACGGTGCCAAATACGAATCTTAAAATGAACACAATATATTTTTAAATTAATTTAGCCACTTTTTCAATCAAAAGTTAATTTAGAAGGTGTAGTTTAATCAGGTAAAAGTTTTTACTTTTGAATTTTTAAATTATACTTTGTTTTCTCCTAAATGGTCCACAAAAAAGGGAAGTAATCATTCACATTAAGTTGTGTTTGGTGAAAACAAAAATTAGTCCCCCAAAATGTATAAAATCTTGCAAGTATTATTGAAAACCTTTATAAACATGGGAAATTTGAAACTCAGATTATTGGCCAAGAGTCAGCCAAGCACTTGGAGGATTTTTTGCTAATGAGAATTAGGATGAAGCGCTATCCAGAATGACAAGGAGCAAAATATTTAAAAATAGCAAATTTCATTGGCATTCACTATGTGACAAACACTATTATAAGCACCTTACATTTATGAAGTCATTTAACCCTATGAGATCGGTAACTATTACTGCCCCCATGAGGCACAGGGAGAAGTACATTTTCCATTGCCATACAACTTCAGTGGAAAAGCCAGGAATATGAACCCTGGCATTCTGGCAGCAGACCCTATATTTTGTCTTAAGGGGATTAGACCCACATACAGCTGATGGAGGAGAGCATTCCTTGCCTTCATAGGTGCTGCTTTCTAGTGGGCCAAAGTCTTCCATCTTTTATTTGTTCCTGACTCTAATGAGCCAAAGCAGTGGTATGTGCATATGTGTCCTTCCCTACACCACCACCTTTTTTCCAGCAGTAGGAAGCTAGCTGCTCTTCAGTCCAGTGGGAATTTATATCCCTTTGGGAAAACCCAGCTTTATACTCCATTTCCCCACAACAGAGTTATCTATGCAATCTTGAAAGGGTTCTTGCAGGCTATGCAGAAATGCCTTTGTATCACCTGAAAGAAACTAGGAAATAGTATTTTCTTTTTTCTGTCACCTTACATTTCTAGTGATCTTTCAGCCCTGGGCAGCTCCATGAATGGTCTGCTTCCATTCCAGCTCTGATCACATTCTACAGAACAGAAATAGTAGATAGGACCAGTTAATCTCATGGTTTCCTATTTGTGGACAATTTCTAGGCAGTAGAGTCTAGCAGAGCTAGAAAACTCTGCCCCAGGTTCTGCCTATTGGGAAAAGTTGGAGGCACCGCAGAGAGGAATATAGGGGAATATACTAATTCTAGTGGGAGTCCACATCCTTTGTTCCTAAGCTTGAGTTTTCCTGGTGGGGCAGTCAAGGCTGTGTTCACCCGATGTAGTGGGCATCTTTTGTTTGTGTCTTCCAGGTGTCCCTTCATTTTTTAGAAACACCTTCCCCTTTCCTTTGAGGAAAAGGAGTCTACATGGTGCTGGGGGAACTTGCTGGCTCTCTTGTTGGCTCTGTGTGCCTCTGGTGACTCTATGTGGCGCTGGTCAAATTGTCTAATCACAGTGTCCTGCCTTCTGCCACACGAATGAGTGGGGCATAGGAGTCTGCATTGGACCCATCCTAATCCTTGCCTAGAATATGAAAAGTGAGGATGGAGGAATAGCCTCTCTCCCCTTGGACTGCAAACTATAAAGATGTGATTCCAGAGGTGTTTGAGGGTCATTTCCCTGTGCATAAGGTCAGGGAGAGAGAATCAAAGGGAGTTCTCACAATACCATTTGTGTCCCTGGATACAGGTGTGCCTGAAGCTGTGCCCCTGTCCTTTCCAATGACATTAGCCACTAAATCCCCTCTTTAGCTACTTTGAGTGGATTTCTATTCTTTGTCGTTAAAAGCTCTATCCTTCAGAAATTTAAAACAAATTCATATATTCAGCATTGAGAAAATCAGGAAGATCAACATTAAGTAGATGTATTAAGGTTCTCCAGAGAAACAAAATGAATTGTATCTATCTATTTATCTCTCTATAAGTATTTATTTCAAGGAATTGGCTCATGTAATTATGGAGGCTGGCAAGTCTGAAATCTTCAGGGTGGGCTGTCAGACTGGACACAAGGGAAGAGCCAATGTTGCAGTTGAAGGCCAAAGGTTGACTGCCGCCTAATTCCTTCTTGCTCCAGGGATGTCAGTCTTGTGTTCTATTCAGGTCTTCAACTGATTGTGTGAGGCCCACCTGCATTATAAAGAGCAATCTGCTTTACTCAAAGTCCACTGGTTTAAGTATTAATCTCATCCAAAAGTACACTAACATTCAGAATAGTGTTTGACCAATTATCTGGGCACTGTGGCTCAGCCAAGTTGTTACATAAAATTAACCATTATGGAGGGCAGAGTTTGCTTTCATCACCAACTTATTTCTGATTCCTTCTTCCATATCTTGGCCATTTCTTTCTGCATTATCATACTCAATTCCACATGCCCTTATGTTGTCCCTTTTTTGACCAGTGTCATCAACCAAGGTGATCTCTCCAGATCTGCCTTCTTTCTGGTTTCAGAATCAACTTCATCCGCATCAAAACTCTCATTTCCTCAGTGACCTTTTCATACCTGGTATCCAAATAAAAATTAACTCTATATGTAGTGTCACTGTAAAGTGTTAATAGAAGATAATGTCTTACTGTGGACCTCCTGGGGGAAGGCGAGGTGCTCTGCCTCAAATATAGAAATACAGACAAGAGTTTAGGCAATGTGATAGGTAAGGAGTGGAGGTAATTTTGGACAAAGGAACTTTGTGGTCACCTTATAATCCCATTTTGTGACTAGTTCTCTATAGTCATGCCCTATTTAACATATGGTTTTTTTAATGCTTCCTTTCAAAAAAAGAGTACACGCAAGGATGAAAAAAGCATCATAGTCCATTCTTAGGGAATGAGTTCAGTATAGCTAGACCAGAAGATGCTTGCTTGAGTAGAGTAGTGGGAAATGATGTTGATAGAACCGGCAGGAATGAAATCCTGGGTAACTGTGTGTGTGTACATAGGAGTCTGGACTTAATCCTGCAGCTGAAGGGTACCCACTGAATTGGAAGCAGGGAGAAACAATCAGATTTGTGTTTTTGAATGGTCACTTTGGTGTGAAGGTGTATAGGATGAATTGGGATGGTGGTGGAACCAGAGGGGTTCACTGAAGGGGTCTTGCTGAGGCCCTGACTGGTGCCTTTTATTCTTGTGTTCATTTCTTCCATCTCATAGGCCTTAGTAGCTCCATCTGTTTCTTCTTCCTTTGATACTTACCACCATCTTCTCTGCCCACTAGGGTACATTTCTCCACAAGACTCCCTAAAAATTGGGACATTTGTATCCCTGCTCCCCATATTCTTGTTACGCACAGGCCTTTCTTTTTTTAATTGAAATATAAGACATACAACATATTAGTTTCAGGTGTACAACAGAATGATTGGGTATATGTATATATTGCATAACAATCACCACAATAAGTCTTGTTTACACTCATCACCAAACATAGTTACAATTTTTTTTCTTATGATAAAAACTTTTTAAGATCTACTCTCTTAGCAACTTTCAAATATACAATGAAGTATTATTAACTACAGTTACTATCCTGTTCATTACATTCCCCAGACCTATAATTGGAAGTTTGTATCTAGGCATTTTTTATTATAATAATTTTATTGCTATTTGTTATTGGAATTCAGGTAAGGGATAACAAAAATCACAAACGTGAAGACATTTAAAAATCTTTTTTTTTAAGATTCTGTCCATTTATTTAAGACAGAAAGAGTGTGCATGGTGCACACCCAAGTGGGGTGAAGGGCAGTGGGAGCGAATCTTTAAGCAGACTACCCCATGAGTGGGGAGTCCCACATGGGGCTTGATCCCACAACCCATGAGATCACAACCTGAGCCGAAACCAAGAGTCTGAGGTTCAACCTACTGAGGCACCCAGGCGCCATCCCCCTGCCCCCCGTTTAAAAATCTTATAAAGCTATTTTAATTACAGTTCCTTTTCTTTAGAAATGGCAGCTGGAAACCCTAATGGCCTTCTGCCCATCAGGCTATATGGCATGGAGGAGACTGAGAGCCATCAGGTTTAACAGGAGAAATCTATGAACAGAGAAATGGACTTAAAGAGATGATGACACCATCCTTACTGTTATTCCTTTTTTTTTTTTAAAGCTTAGTTCAGAACTTTTGATGAGAGAAAATCCTTTCCATTTCTTCAGATGTTTGAATTAGACCCAGATGTCTCCTTTCCTTCACAGATCATTTATTTTCTTCTCCAGCCCCTATTCCCAAAGGTCCAGCTAAGGCAAAGCTCTATAGAGATGGGGGTCAAACAGAATTCTTTCATATTGGTGTCTTGACTGGAGCATAGTTATAAAGGGCTCTTTGTTGCATTGGGTTGGGAAAATATTGACTTTCAAAGTTTCTCTCAACCTCCTCCTTGCCATACATTCCGGCTGGGCAGAAGGCCATCGGGCTTCTAGTTGGTATATCTAAAAAAATGTGGAACCCACAGTATTATTAACTATAATCACCAAGGAGTCAAAGTGTGATTGAACAACACCTTTGTGCACTGCTAGCAAACCTGATGATGCCACAAAGAAAGTGCCAGCAGTAGCACCAAAATTCTCATGCTCAAACTAAAATACCATTGAACCCCTTGCTTTTCTCTTTGTTACCTTGACTCCTTGGCAATATCACTGCAGTCTTACTAGAAACTCTTAGATGAGGGTTCTGAGGCTAAGATGTACATCCACAGTCTTTTGCCTCTTGAATTAAGAAATGTGTTGTCTATTTAACAAACAGCTCACTGTTTTTTTAACTTTGCTCTGGGGTCATTTAGGGGCTAAAGGGCCTGAAATATTAAAGGGCTCTTAGGTGATAAAGACTTCGATTAGTTAAATGTAACATTTTTCTAGCCTCTCTTTGAGGCAAGTAATAAAAAGCATTTATTTTTCCCTCTAAGAAAATCTGAAAAGCCCTTCCTTCCTTCACTTGATCATATAACCAGTCATAGGAGGTCAATTTCACTAATACGGCTTTTTTCACTCCTTCAAAAACATTTTTTTAAAATATTTTATTCTTTTATTTTTTTAAGTACTCTCTACCCCAATGTGGGGCTCAAACCCATGACCTTGAGATCAAGAGTTGCATGCTTCACTGACTGAGCCAGCTAGGTGCCACAAAAACATTTTGATCCATTATTTTGTGCTAGGGTTTATACTAGGTGTTAGGTATGCAAAGGCTTGTTCTAGCCTCAAGAAATAGCCTAGGAGGGAAATACACACACACACAATGCCAGAAGTATATTGATTTAAAGGGGGCAGGTCAAAGAATGAGAGCTTAATCCATGTCCTTAAGTCTGTCTAGGGAGAAAAAAATAGGTTTTCCCCAATGGGGTGGGGATTCCATGAAGAGTAACTAATGTGTACAAAATATTTGAGAATGTTGGCGCAGTAGGGAAATGGTGTAGCACTGTTGGGAGTGTAAAGGGCTGGAAGGTGGGGTAGGAAAACAATAGTGTGAGGTAAGCCCAGATAACTAGGGTCAGAAGTCCATGCCATGTTCTGTATGCCAATCAAGTTTTTATTTGATCCTAATCTAGAGCCATTAATAGTTATGATAACCATCTACATTTGACTAAAGATACCATTTAAATCTTCCTAGAGCAAATGCTTGGATAATAAATTCTCAGAAACATCATCTCTCTCTGATTGTCTCTCTTGGCAGGAGTGGTGCATTAATTCACAGAATTAATCGTGAGTCAAACGTAAGGCTGTCAAATCTGGGCAATTCCTAGTCTTCTCAGGTGGGCCATCAGAAGTCTGGGCCAGAAGTTTCACAAGCCCAGGAGCCCAGTGTTGTATCGTTGAGCTTTACATTCCCCCACCCCCGAATCCGCTCTGCCAAAATCTGGGGGTTAGGGAGGCAATGAATGCGAGTGCGGTGGGGTGCGGAGGGCGTTTAGAGGCCAAGCGTATTACACAGAGCTTAAGACCGGAACTGAATTGCCTGTCACCAGAAAGACTGGACGAACCTGAACGGCGCTTTACATCAAGAATTTTGGTTCCCTTCCTCCCTACCTCATTCAGTTTTCTTTGCAGTTTTTCTTCAGCCTTATGTCCCTTTCCAGCCTGACCTGTTTATTTGTTCCCCAGAACCCCCTTTTCAGGCCTCCCGCTTTCTTCCCCCTTTCTCCGCCGCTTCGTGGGCTGCTGGAGCCTGGGGCCTTGGGTTGCATTGGGCGCGTGCTCCAATGCTATTTGCTTTGCTGACAATTCCATCCTCCTCTTTCCTTAACGTTCCGTCTTTCCCTGCCAGCCGCTGAGTTTCTTCCTCCCCCACGGCGTGGTTCCTCCAGCTGCTCGCCCGGGGGCCGGGCGGCTCCAGGAACCCCAAGCGGATGCGGCCGCTGGCTGGTGCCACGTCTCCGTCGCCAGCAGGCCAGCGCCTGCGTGGGCTCGAGGGCGGGGCGGGGCGGCGCGGGGAGGCGGGAGCTGCGCGTGAGCGGCGCGGACGAGGCCCAATGGGATCCGCGGGAGGCGGCGGCGCGGTGCGCGCCGAGGGGCGGGGCCCGTCGGCAGTTGCTGGCTAGCCCGGGAGGCCGAGAAGGCTGTCGTTGCTTCGGCCGTCGCATCCCCGAGGGAGTCGTGTTGGCTTGCTCCGGGCCCCCAAGCTCGCCAATCGCCCCCGAGGCTCGTGTGCGCGCTCCCGACCTCGCCAGCCGTTCGCCGCTCGCCCGCGGACCGTGCCTTCTGCATCATGTGCGGTAAGGGGGCTGCGAGCGGGGGGCGTGTTGCGGGGCGGTGCTGGGGTGCGGTGCGGGCGCCGCCGAGGCCGGAGGCGCTGGCGGGAGCGGGAGTGTGAGGGTGTGAAGTCTGGGTGCTGGGTGCGGAGGCCGGCCTCTGCGAGCGGGATGGGGGTGGTGGACCTAGGAAGGCACCTGAGAGGAGGGCGGGCTCTAGAGTGGATCTGGGGGGCCAAGGGGGGCGGTTTTTCGCGGAGAAGGGAACCAAAATGTAGATAGATGTCTTGGAAAAGGAGAGAGGGCCGAGGGAACTGAGGTGTGGAGCGGTTTGCCTTCAAGAGTCCATCAGGTGAGTGAGGCAACCTGTGGAACATCAGGTGAGATCGCTTGAACTTATCTTCCTTCTAGGTTTTACCTCTTTAAAAATACTTATTTTTAGTTGCTTTCTTTCGGGCAGGCCCAATAGAAACAGAACTATATACAGCTAGAACTACAATGGCATTCCACGTAATCTTACTTCCTGCCACCCCCTGTCTCAACAGAAACCATTTCCAATCAATAACTTGGTGAGTGGGCTTAGACCTAATCCTGTGGTGGAAGAGGCCCGAAAGTGACCGTAACATGCGTTATCACGTGCACGTGCACCCATTTAAAACACCTATGAACACCTTTTATTCCATGTTTTGGGACTTAGTAGTTTTAATATTCCCTAAAACTGTTAGTAAAGGGGACTGTTAGAATTATATCTGAAATGATTGATAAACTCCAAAATAGGTATTTACTTGGCCATTGTCGGTGGAAAATATTCCTGCTGCTTTTATTGAAATTTACAACTAACCTTACACCTGGAAGAAGGAACACTTTTAAGGGAAGTAGTATTGTAATAGAATTGAAGCTATCTGGGAAACTTAATCTTCACAGCCTTTTGCAAGAATATCCTGGGAGGAGGTGGCTTGTACTCATTAGTGTATATTTTTCTTGTATTTAACTTTATGATAATTTCAGCTTCCAAAAATGAGCAGTTTTAAATTTAGAGTAGATTAAAAAAACTCAAAACAGAAACATCTATAAATAGTTTCTGAAATTATTAGATTAGAGCTGACTTTGGAATCAGTTATACTTTAGCTGTGCCTAGTTAGTAGAGTGGTTTTGAAAAACATTTAGGTTGTAGCTGCGAAGTAGTGAATTTGCAAACTGGTAATCCCCAAGATGCTTCATTTGGTAATTAACTTTTCCTGAATGATGAGGTGTGTGCCTAGTTAAGTACGTGGCTTTCTGATTGCGGGTCATTTCTTCTTCTTCATCTTGTTTCAGGAAAAAAAAAAGTACCATAAAAGGAAAAATTAGATTTGCTTTAGAAAGGTTCAGATAAGGGTGAGGCTTTGGGGTGGAGACTAGATAAGTAGGAGTTTTCACGCAGCCAATATCCCCATTTCATAGTTTTATTGCCGAGGAAACACACCAGTTAAAAGGAAATATTTGAAGTATTTGAAACATTTCCAAGGTCCTGCTTTTAACCCAGAACAGAGTTTTGCATGATTCCAGGAATAGAGTTCAGAATTTATTTCCTCTTTAATGTAAATTCTGAAACTTAACTGTTAAAAGGATGACTTATTTATTTATTTAAAGATTTTATTTTTTTTGACAGACACAGTGAGAGAGGGAACACAAGCAGGGGGAGTGGGAGAGGGTGAAGCAGGCTCCCCGCTGAGCAGGGAGCCTGATGCGGAGCTCGATCTTAGGATCCCGGGATCATGACCCAAGCCGAAGGCAGACGCTTAACGACTGAACCACCCAGGTGCCCCTGACTTACTTATTTTCTTCCCATATCTCAATCATTGAAATAAAATTTCTAGGCAGAGGAAGTGAGTGGGAATGAGATTAGATAGGAAAATTTAGAGGTTTACCTTTTTCATTTTAATTTAATTCCAGTGTAGTTAACAGTGTTACATTAGTTTCAGGTGTACAGTGTAGTGATTGAGGGATTCCATACCTCACTCCCGGATCATCATGGACAAGTGCCCTCCTTAATCTCCATCGCCTATATCACCCATCCCGGACCCATAGAAGTTTACTTTCTGATTACCTGCTGCCTATTCCAAGTTTTTCTAAAAGATTATTTTGTTTCAACACTTTACAGTGTTGAAGCAGAAGAATGAAGGCAGAAAATTCTGTGATACGCTTTTTCCAATCAGATACACTGATAAAACTGTCATAATGTTTACCAGCTTATGTTGGGATGTTAATAATGTTAATCAGGAAAAAAAAAAAAGATTCTACAGTCAAGTAAATTTGGGAAGCAATAGATTAAACAGTGTTGAACTGGCTTTTTTTTTTTTTGGAAGATTTCTTGGAACCTTTAGTGGGCTAGTAAGTGTTGTAAATCTCCCAGAGAAGAATAATAGTGTGCCTGTTTTCCAAATTTATTTTATCTTCCTTTTATTCTTGGTTCTTTAGAATACACTTTGTCCTTTTTTATTTGTACTACCTTTTGTTTTGGTGAATGGCAAGTCACTTAAGCTACCCACAGCTTTTAACAGATTGTACTGTTGTGGTTTTTTTTTTTTTTTTAATAAATGTAGGGTTATACCCTTCTTTTTTTCTTTTGATTTTTTTTTATTACTCAAAACTGCATTTTTAAATTTAGCTTTCTGACTCTGTGCTTGTTGCTTCAACACATTCAAAACACTGTTCTCAGTAAGCCTAGCATGCTTGATCCAGTCACTGACACAACACATACGGAATCACCGCAGTCTCTGCTGATGTGTTTTTTCCGTCTTAGACAACCTCATAAGAACTGTAGGTCTCACAGCACAAACGCCTCGAAAGTTGGCCTGGGCACATGCCACATGTGGATTTTGGTGCTTTTCCAACCTCCTTGGTATAAATGTAAACAGTTCTATTACCAGGGGTTTGGGACAGCCTAGTTTTGTTAGAGCCTGTATTTTGGACAGCCTGTGATGGTATGTCATACATGGGACCATTCTGAATGCCTCTAGACATTGTCCCTGGAAGAGCGGGTATACTCTCTGATCCAATGGTGTATATAAATGGAATTTTTGTAAATGGAGCCATATTTAAAAGCAGTAAGGGAGCTTATAATTTAAAAGTATCCTGAAATGAATCCTTAAAAAGATTTTTGTAATAATACTATCTAATAGCCTTGGAGGTAATTGAGGGATGCTGAGGCTGGCTACTAGGATAAATCATAAAACCAATTCTATTAACATATCCTTGGAAATCATACTGGATATAAAGTAGTTGTGAAAGAAAATAATTTATTTCTTAAGTATTTCCTCAGTTGTGTTCCCTGGAAAGAGTGAAGTTAATAGGTGCTGGTTATGAGCAATAGAAGGTGGGAAAGAGTTTTATAACACAAGTGTGGGAAGTTCTGCTTTTGGAGATTCACAATTAGTAAGATTAAAGTTTCTAGAAAGTTCTACAAATAAACCTGTTAACTTTAACTCCGTATTTCTTAAACCTTTAATTATGGAACATTTCACCTTATCCCTGTTTAGCATCCTGCAAAATAGTGCTCTCTTTCTGTGGTTTAGGAATTTTTTTTTTGTATGTTAAGAGTATGTTTAATTTTATAAAGGAATTTTTGGCTGTACATTTCAAGTACCTAGAGAGCATTAGAAGATATTTGAAGTGATGGCTTTATATAGTTGGTGCTTTGTCCTTCGGAGAGATAACCAACATAAGGGAATTGCCTTCAAGGAATTGCTGTCTGGTTGGAGGGAACAGTGAATACGCAGGTGCAACACAAGGTGTGCAACAGCTGTGAGTGTTAGTAGGCATTTCTTGTTAATTGTTCATTGCCATGTTCTGGTCTACAAGTGGGTTGAATAGAAATTCAGAGATTAGTTAGGGGAGGGATGTTCCAGGTAATGGGGCTGTACTTTTTTTTTTTTTTTAAAGTAATCTCTACATCTAGTGTGGGGCTCGAACTTAATAACCCCAAGATCAAGAGTAGCATGCCCTGTGGACTGAGGCAGCCAGGCACCCCAGCAGCAGTACTCTTAGGTTGAGGAATAGTGCCACCTGGTAGAGAATTAGTGCACTGTGAGAGGTATCATTGGTGGCATTTACCCAGCACTGAATGGAGGCAGAAATAGGTTGAGAACTGTTGCCATGGGGTTTGAAAGAAGAAGTAAAAATTCCAGGAAAAGGGGCCAAAGAGCAGTGATTAGAGGGAGAAGAGTTCCAAAGTAGTGTATTGACTTGGACAGAATCTGCAGACGTAGAAGGTCATTCATGTTTAATATTGCAGAGAGAAATTAATTGCATTTGGCTGTAAAGAAATGATTAGAGAAGTTGAATATATGAAGGGAGAGGCACCTGAGTTTGTGTTGAGGAGGAGGGCATGCATACCAGCAGAGGAGGGAGTATTGTGGAACTGAAGTACCCTGATAGAGTTGAAAAGTTGAGTTCTAGAGCTGTGGTTCTTGACCTATAAGCTGTGAAGTTATTATTGGTTTTCACGGATTGATTCATACTCTAAGCATTGTCTGTAAAGTTGTACAGAAGTTCTAGATCATTGGATAATAAAAATTCAACCCACTATTGTGTAGGATCCTCAAAATATTTTGATGTAATATAGGGCGCCTGGGTGGCTCAGATGGTTAAGCGTCTGCCTTCAGCTCGGGTCGTGGTCCCAGGGTCCTGGGATCAAGTCCCACATCGGGCTCCCTGCTCCTTGGGAGCCTGCTTCTCCCTCTGCTTCTCTCTCTCTCCCTCTCTCTCTCCCTCTGTCTCTCATGAATAAATAAATAAAATCTTAAAAAAAAATAAAAGTTTCTGTATTTAGAAAGTTGAGGAGTCGCTTATCAAGAGTTACAGGTAGGAGAGACTGGCTTCAAGGAATAGTGTGTGAGATATATTTCTCTATTTCGAGCTCATAGGGAAGGATAAGGCACCCTGGAGTGGGTTTGCCCAGAGGGAGGGGACTGTGCCTTAGGTGTTCCAGAGGTGTCTGGTGAGCTCTTGTTGGCCCATGGACATCCAGGGGAGAGGGTTGT